TAGGGTCAGGGCACCTCCTCTGGCCCTCATCATGCCCTGGTCACTGAAAGGGCCACCTGTAGGCCTCTTCTCTCCACCTGGGCTTCTTGTCCATTTCTGACTAACCCAGCCCGGCTTCTCCAGGCCCTGCCCACCTGCCCCTGCCTCTACCTGGTGGGATTCAGTCTCAGTGGGCGGGGGTGGAGGAGTGGGGAATCGCTGGCATTTCACAAGTACCCAGCACAGGGCCTGGCCACGGCTAAGTGCTCAGGAAATATTTACAGGGTGAATGGGTGAGTGAATGAATGTTTGGCCCACGCGGACAGCCGAAGGTGCTTTTCTGAAATGCCTGGGGAGCATCTTTGTAAATTGCCACAACCTCAAAACATCGATATGGGAGGCGCATTTGGCAGCCCTGACTGAGGACCAGCTCAGGGTACTGGGGGGGTGGGCCTGAGCTGAGGCAGGGCCCCTGATGAAGGACAGGGAGAGTGGGCAGGAAGGGAGGTCTTGAGGAAGGGTGGGGGAGCCAAGGGAGCAGGCCGGGGCATGGTGCAGCGCGGAGAGTGGCACCCGGCACGCCAGCCTTCCCGCACAGCCCAGGCCTGGTTCTGGCATGTGCAGCGTTCATGAGCAAGTGGGTAATTAGGACAACCATTCCAGAGCCAGAGGATTAAGCTGATGCTGAATATCAGTTAAGTTTGGAGCCTTTCCATGAAATTGAAGGAAAAGTTGACCTTACCAGACAGAAAACATTTCCAAAACTATGATTTCCCAGATCGAACGCACAGCATGCAGATCTTAATCCAGCAAATGCAGACTTTAGATGACATGGTCTCTTCCCGCTCAGGGGTCTGGGCCAGTGACAGAAACCACGAACGGACCACAGATGTAAGAACAGGCGCACGCACACTTGGGGGGCATCAGTTCGGCTGGGGAGGCGCCTGCACACTCCTACCTTGGTTAGGCTCATATTCGTCTCTGCGGGACCCTGTTTTTCTGTTATCTTCAAATGTCCCAAACAGTCAAACACATTTAGGACTTCAGCGTGTCTGGGAAGATCTACCGTACTCATGACACTTCCGGCCTGTCTTTGGAAGCCAGGAGGCTGGTGCAGAGGCCGGGGCCACACCCCCCACTCCACACAGCCTTGGGGGAGGACAGGCTGGGACAGGACAGGCAGAGCAGTTCTGAGAGTCCTCGCTGCAGGAGTGCGCCCAGGGGGGCGGGCAGGGGTGCCTGTGCGTGGGCAGGGCACGGGATCTGGGGGCAAACAGATGTGGAGTGCGTCCTGGCTTCTTGAATCCTGCCTTGTCACGTGGGGTAGCTTCACAGACTCTTCATTTCGTCCTCTGTAAACGTGGCTCGGTGAGGCCCACCTGGCGTTGGCAGGCCTCTCCGTAGGGCTGTAGGCCACCCGGACGCCATCGGCGAGAGGTCACAGGGGTGTGAAGGGCTCGCTGGTGGTGCCAGCCCCTTGCAGGAAGGCAGCAGGAAGGCATCCCCACCCTGCTAGGAATCTCCTCTGCAGCCCCGGTGGATGGCCGTGGCCAGCCTCCACGAGGACGGCTGAACTGTCTCAGTCGGCGAGGAAGAACAGTATATAGGAAAATCCAGTAGATAGCTAAAATCTGGGTTAGTTGTGTGACCTTGGAAAAGTCACTCTGTCTCTGATTCTCAGTTTCTGTATCAGTACAACGGAGACATCGTGGTCCTGTCTGTAGGGGGAGGATGTGAGAAGCCTAGTCTGGCACCTGGTACACAGTCGGTACTCAGTAAATGTTAGGTAAAAGGGAAAGTCCTGTTACTAAGTAATTTCCAGAAGCACTCGTCATGCAACTGTTGTACTTGGTGCTCCGAGGTAGCACGGCGCCGAATAGCGTTCCTGGGGTCGGCAGGCTCTCCCTGGCTAGTTGCACAGCCGCTCACGGTGGGTCGGGAACTCTGACGCTTCATATAGTGTGATGCTATATTCTCAGTCATTTTCACATTAAAAAAAAGTAAAACATTTAAAAATAATTGGAAAGACCATCTATGCAGCTTTGGTGTCTAGGTTTTTCACTGGATATCATGAGCTTTTCCTCTTCACATATTCTCACCAGAAGTGGTTTTAAGTGGCTACCTAGTGGTCCATCCCTGGCTATTCTCAGATTTATTTAACCACTCTGATAGTGTTGGGCATTTAGGAATAAACGGCTTTTAAAAATGACTCATCTGTGGGGATGTCGTTCCTAAGCATTCACTGCTCCGTTGTTGAACAGTTCTGAGTTGCAGAGGAGAGGGCTGGCCGGTTGAAAGGACCCCCTCCCAGCGTAGCAGCCCCTTGGCCCCTCAGATGGGAGCCTGTGGGGCAGGGCAGGTGGCAGGTGCCCCCACGTGCTGTGTGGCAGCTAATTCGCTGGCTACCATCACCCAAAGAACCGTATCAATTTCAAGCTTCATTGGAGTTGAGGCAGCAAAGAAAAGTTGGCAATTCAACATTTTAACAAATAGGAAACATTTCTAGTCCAGCCAGACTTTGACATGTTTTCCAGCTATTAGAAATTGTTGATGGTTTATTTTTCATTGACACGCAGTAGAGAATGCCAGGAAGTCTGCAAAGAGGCAAGGGTCCCGTGGCTCCGGGACAAAGCTCGTCTCCCTGTGGGGCTGGAGCTGACCAGAACTGAGAAGCAGGTGGAAGGCGCCTCTTATGTAAAGGCTTTGAGTTTTAGAACAAAAGGAAGAGGCTCAAAGGAGGGGAGGCAGCATCTGGCCCCTTTCCCTCCACCTCTTCCTCTAAAAATGATGGAAATAGACTTGGATTCTGGCTTTAGTTCATTTCTGCCAAAAGAAATAAATTAGACATTGAAATGTGCAGCTGATCCCACGGCCTTCCCAGGGGAGGCGTGATGCTCCCCAGATGCCTCCAGAGTCCTTGGAGGGAGAAGTTAGGGCCGTTTCTGGCTCAGGGGCCAGGGGAGCCGTCCCTGTTAGTTCCTGTCGGGAGGTCAGTCTTGTCCTGAAACAGCCGAGTTCGGGCTGTGTGTTCAGCCCTCTGTAGGTCAGATCTCTAGGCTTGGGTGGTGTGTCTGGTGTCTCCCAGTCATGCTCTCAAAGACAGGAGGCTTCCCGAGGGCTGCCCCGGGCTCTGTCCGCACGTGTGTGCGGAGCGAGGACCACAGGCCGCTCTGCTTTGCACTGTAGACTGTGGAGGCTCCGTGAAACCTGGCTGAGGTGTAGACCGTGGTCTGGGCAGTGTGGATGGAGCCCTCCCTGCCGTGGACGAGCCTGTGTGGCGCACAGACTGGGGCCTGTGCATAAGCCAGACCGGGGGAAGCTTCTGGCAGGCAGGGTGCTCTGAACCCCCCCACCGCTCCGCACACTTGAGCATCTGGCGGGGCTCCGGCAGTCGTCATGAAGGAATGAAGGAATGCACTATTTCGTTCGTTCTCCGTGGGTCCCCAGCACTAGCCTGTGCCTGCACAAAGGGGGCCCCACCCAGTAATTGTATCAAATACGTGACTGACAGACCCCAGGGAGAGGTTCTTGGGGTCTCAGCCTGCAGCGGTGGAGGGTGGGGAGCCTGGGGTTGGGCCTCTGCCGGTCCGAGCCCTCCCCTGACTCTAGAGCTCGCCCTACTGGACACCACCGGCTAACCCTGCAGACCCGAGCCGCACTCACTCCGCGTCACAGTGTTCGGGCGCTGCTGTCTCCCTCCTTCCGTTGAGCACCCCCAGCCCTGCCCTAGGCTTCCCTTGGCATTCATTGTCTCCTCGCTGGAGACATCTCCCATTACTGACTTGAGCTGTCCTTTGGATCTGTTGAGTGGGCTTCTCATGGCAGAGAGGGCCTGAGCGCCTGAGGGCAGGGCTCTGGGTTCGAGCCATAGACCCTGGCTTTCAACTCCAGCACAAGCCAGTCACCCCGGAGCCTCCTCCTGTAACGTCCACAAAGTTGGGACATAGAGGCCGCGGGCTGCATGAGGATGAATGAGAGCGAATATGTGACAGCACCTTGCACACTCTAAGGTGCTTTCTGGAAGTCAGGGGTGGTTGTGAGCACAGGGCTGTTGCTGGCGTGCCGTGGGTCTCTGGGGACTGAGACCTCAGAAGTGCTGCCCGGCGCATCGGCTACTCTGCTTGGGCTGTGCTCCCGACTTCCCTTGGGGCCAGAGTCGCCCCTACTTCCTGGCTTCCAAATGCCCAGCAGGGCACCATGTCCCAGCCCGGACACCCTGACTCTGCAGAGGATGTGCAGTGAATGACAGAGGTAGCTAAGCCTCCCCAGGCCAGGCATGGGTCTAGGACTTTACACCCATAGATGCCTTTAGTTTTCCCAGCAGCCCTCAGAGGCGGGAACTAATGTTCCCCCCACTGGACACATGAGACCGTCGAGGCGGAGAGAGGTGGAGTGGGCAGCCTAAGGCCACACAGCTGGGAAGGGGCTGCGTCCAGAGCTGTGCTGCCTGGCAGTTCTCGGCTGGAAGATGCAGTGAACACTGGGGGCGTACCCCTGCCTGCCCCACCCCCTGCACGGGTGACCCCTCTTTGCTCCCCAGCAACTCTCTGCCACCCTGCCTTTCTCCCTGCTCTTGACCTAACCTGGGGGGTGAGAACACCTGCCAGGACGTTCTACGTCATGCCGGAGAAAACCCTGCATGGTCAGAGATGGAAGGAGCTCAGGAATCCTCTGGTTCAGGTTTGTTCAGAGAGAGGCCCAGGCTGGAGACTGAAGCCCTAACGTAGAAAAGCAGCACAAAAACGAATTATGTTCATATGACTTGTGAGCATGGAAGCAAAATTCTAAACGACCCATCCGCAAACTGAGCCATGGAGAGCAAACGTGATGCCTCCTGCCCAGGCAGCCTCCACCCCAGGAGTGCAAGTAGGCTTTGACTCTAGAAAACAGAGGCTGGGGGGGGGGTTGCCCAGCCCAAGGCAGGACCTGCTGGCCGTGCTCCTGAGCCCCCTTCCCCTCTGCACAGCCCCCGGCCGACCCCACTCCTGGCTGTCCTAATTCTCTTTCCATTTCTCCGGCAGGATTCCATGTTTTCGTTGGCCCTGAAATGCCTTATCAGTCTGTCTACCATCATCCTTTTGGGTTTGATCATCGCCTACCACACGCGGGAGGTCCAGGTAGGTGCTGGCGCTGGGGCTCTTCCCTTCCGGTTTGGAACCCCATGAGAGAGGGAAGTGGGGTTGCCCTGGGCCTTCAGAATGGTGTGGCAGATCTTCATTTGGGGGTCCCCGAAGCGAACATGGCCTCATGATCTGGGGGGCAGTCGTGGTCCGCATCCTCATGGCTGCACCGTGAGAGCCCCGTACCTTCTCTGTCTCTCGCTGGAGACTTTCAGAGCTTGAACCCCAGACCGCCCCCGCATTGAGGCAGCCCCGTCTCATGTCCCCTTGCGCACACACGCACGCATTGCACCAAATACCACCAGCAGTCCATATTTCTCAGTGGTGTGGCCGTTACCCCCACTGGACCCTGAAGGCTGGGAAGGAGTCATTCTCTCAGTGGAATACAAGTCTGATGTGGGTGAGGGGTTGCTGTTTCTTGGTGCTCAGAAATGACTCAGCCCCCGGAGAAGTGTCGGCTGGGCCTCTGGGTGCACTTCCAGGCCGGGGACAGGCAGCCCCTTTGGGCTGGGGCAGGGGAGGGGTGCAGGAGTGAGCAGACCTGCAGCATCTTCTCAGGACACTGGGGCCCCATCGCCTGGGCCCACAGGCTGACCCTCTCCACTGCAGACTGGGTAGTTCTAGAACCTCAGATGCCTTTCCTCACATGCATGTGAGTCTGGATGTAATCCGGGTCCCTGGGCTGGAGGAGGGCAGCCACATCTGGGCCGCAGGCGACAGATTGACAAGGACCAGAGCTCACGGTCAGAAAAACCGGCTTGAGTCTCGACTCTTCCCACGGTGTGTCTTTGGCCAGCCCTGACCTTTCTCCATCTGTCTGGAGCAGCTTTCACAGAGGACAGGACAAGCAGTGCTCTGTGAGCCGGAAACACTATGCAAATCTTGTCCCCATTGTTGTGGGGCTTTCTGGGCAGGTGGCTGCACAGGCAGATGCGGGTAGGTGTCGGGGCCCTGGGCCGGCCTGGATGGCTCCCGGCCACCATGGCAGGGTTCCCGGCTGTGGATGGCCAGAGGACACTGATCCAGAAGCCGCGACTCTCCGGGGCTCACAGGCACTCAGACAGACGTCTGGTCTGAGCACCGCGTCCAGACACCACCAAGAAGCTTCCTTCACGGAATCGGAACTGCGTGGAGCTGGTGGCCTTTGACCCAGGTTGTGGTTGTCAGCCCCTGGCAGGAGCCAGTGCAGGCGGGAGGGGCCAGGCCTACCCTGCCCTGAACCAGCCGTGGGGCCCAGGGATTCCCTCGACCCCTCTGAACCCCCGTGTCTCATCCGGAGGGAGCCCATTTGCTACGTATCCCCCCGACCTGTGTGGAAGATGTCACCCAGGCCCAAGAGGAAAGGCCGAGTCCTGGAGCTCGGCTGTGACCCAGGCTTGAGGGAGGCGGGGCACGGAGCAGGTCCCAGCCTCGGCTCTCAGACCTGGCCCATCCCAGCCCGGTGCAGCGCCACCAGCTTGCTCGGCGCCCCTTGTCCCCACGCGGCTCACACCCAGTCTCCACCTTGCCCTAGTTATGGGCAGTAGAGGACACTGTTTCGGCCGCTTATTTTCGCCTGGCCCTCACAGTTTGCACTGAGTCCTGGCTCAGACACTTTGGCCTGCAGGACCTGGGGTCAGTGACAGCTTCTCTGGGCCTCAGTTTCTCCATGTGAAGTATGGACATCCTAGCACCCACTTTGCTGGACTCTGAGAGGGTTGGTAACAGTGGAGTCCTGGGTGGAAGCTGGTGGTCTTCCTGTGACCTCTGCCCCCCACTTCCAGCTGGGCACCCTCCTGCAAGAGGCTGGACCCCCCACCCTTCTGCACCCCCCACCCTGCCAGCCCAGGCTTGCCTGTGCTCTCAGCCTCCAGAGCTGTGCACTGTGGCCCTGTGGCCCCCCATCATGTGGGGAGTCACAGTCCCTGGCTCCCTCTGTCCCTTACCTTTCCAGTAAAGTGACTTCTGCACAGAGCTGGACCTTCTCCTGCCTGAAGGACGCGGGGGTGGTTTGGGTCCCGGCAGTCAGCTCGGGGAGAGCTTGCTCCTATGGGGCCCCCTCGGATGCACCTCGCCCGACCACATTGCAGTTCCCTGTTCTGTGTCTTTCTCCCCAGACTTAGGGACGGTGATGTCATGAATCTTTGCATTTCCGGGGACCCACAGTGTCTGACAAAGGGCAGGGGTTTGCAGTGCCTCTTTTGAGTAAAAGGGCGCTGGATGCAGGATGTCCGGTGTCCAAGCCCTTGGGACTCTTCCTTCGCTCTGTGGTCTTGGGCCTCGGTGTCCCCATCTGTCAAGTTGGGCTCCTAAACCTCCTAATTCTGTAATGCTGTGGTTTGGGTCCAAGCGCAGCAGGAAGGGGGGTGGGCAGCTGGGGGTGCAGCGCCGGGAGCACCTGTGGGGGTGGGGAGACCAGCTGCTGCTCATCTGCGGGAAGCGGGGTGGGGGGGTGGCTCGCCCCCTCCGTGGGGCCGAGGCAGGGGCTTGTGTGAAGGACGTGCTCACCACTTCCCACACCAGCTGCTGTGCACTTGGCGCAGACACGTGACCATGTCGGCACCCACCCCCCTGCCCTAGACACTCGCATCCAGGCCCCCGGCCCTGGCACACAGGAGGCTGGGGTGCCTTCTGGAATCGTATTCCTCGTGTCAGTTTAGATGGCTTGTGTTTTTGAGGCACAATTCTGAAACTGGGTGGCTCTTAACTGAACTCTGGCTTCTGTCGTGGAGCCTCAGGCTTGGCAGGCTCCCGGAGGTGACCAGGTACCCCCACCTGTGCAGGAACCCCCCTACCTCTGTGGGCTCTGTCTGTGACAGGGAGCCACTGCCTCTTGAGGGGGGCTCTCCGCCGGTCAAGGGGGGCTCTCCCCTGGTTGAGGGGGACTCTCTGCTGGTCGAGGGGTGTCTCTGCCAGTCGAGGGGGACTCTCCGCCGGTCGAGGGGGGCTCTCCGTCGGTAGAGGGGGGCTCTCTGCCAGTCAAGGGGGGCTCTCCTTTGATGAGCAGCATGGGTTTTTGGAAAGTCTGCCCTCCGCTGTGAGGAAGCAGGCCTCCCCGGAGCGTCCCTTCAGCCCCGAGCAGGGATGAGCAGGGGCCCATGTCTCCCGCAAGGCAGCTCTGTCGTTTGAAGATGGCCGCCCCATTTCTCCTCAGGTTTTTCTGCTTGGCTTTCTGGAGCATGGAGATTTCAAAGGCTCAGGCATCTGTTATCCTCAGGCCAGTGTGAACTGGAAAGAAATGCAAACACAAAAACCGGGCGTTTCATTTATTTACCAGAACTTGGGAAACGCTCTTCCCAGGAGAGTCTGCTGCCCGCGGTCTGTTGTCACCACCCAGCCCCGGGGGCAGCGCCGGCTTGCCGACCCCCGGCTGCAGCCCCGCGTGTTCGAGGCCGCCGCGCAGACACACCGAACTCCTTCTCGTCCCCTGCTCTTGCACTGGCCACACACGTAGTGGGGTCCACTCTGTGCCGAGCCTGGTGCTCTGCCCTGGAAGCCCTGAAATCACCTTTGCTCCCCAAGGGTTTGCCACCCTTGAGTGAAGCCGCGACTCGGACTAACGTCTCTGGTACCACCCTGAAGGCAGGGTAGCGGGTGGTGGGGAACTTGGACTCTAGGGTAGCCGAGTGTGGGTTCAAATCATGCTTTTTGTCACATTTTAGTGTCTCTGGTGGCCTTTAGCAAGTTACTTAATCCCTCTTAGTCAATCTCCTTTCTGCAAAATGGGGCTGATAATAGTATGTGCCACAAAGGGTTGTTGTGCATTAGAGAATTTATGCCAAACACCTTAGCTGAACCAAGGACGTGTTTGCTTGGCAAACAGGGTAGACAGGACATCTCAAAGCAAACTAAGGCCCTGAGACGGGAAACTACAGCATGCATCCCCACTGTCTCAGGACAAGGTCCTGCAGGAGGAGATGGATGGGTCCATGGGTACGGGCAGTGCCAGTGGGAGGCTGGGTGTCCCAGGGAAGGGTTTCAAGCTTGGGGATGCCCTGCACCAGGGCAAGACGTGAGCCAGGACAGGAGGCGCCATGCATGAGGGACGCTGAGCTCGTGGAATTGCCCAGACTTGGTCACCTGTTAGGGTGGAGGTGCTGTCTGCGGAGAGCGGAGGAGCCTCCCTGCTGCTTGGGTAGCTCAGGGGCTGGGAGTGCCATTCAGATTGAAGCCACAGAAGGAGGTTGAGGTGGGAGTGATAACCAGGTCAGTCTGGGGCGCGCTGAATCTGAGGTCTGGCAGGGTGGGTCAGGGAGGAACCTAGCCATCTCCAGGCCAGGGCTGCAGAGGCCCCCAGGGGGGTGGGGGTGAGAGGAGAGACAGGGCAGACCCCTGGAGGAGAAGGAACAGTCAGGGAGGCCAGCGGAGACCCAGGAGGCAGGAGCACCGGTTATGGCGCAGGGAGGTCAAGGAGCTGGGGACACTGGTCATTTGCCTTGGGCCATGGCAGGGTCCATGTGCCCCTCATCCACTGGGAATGTCAGTCACAGGGCAGTGGTGGGAGGTGAGACAGTGAGTGCAGGCCAGTCTTCTGTCTAACATGTTGGGCTGTGAAGGCAGGAAGCCAGAGTGGCAGCTGGAGAGGACACAGTGCTAAGGGAAGGGTGTCTGATCCATTTTTATAGAGACTGCATGTGGCCATCAGCTGCCAGGAAGGGGCCAGTTGGGAGGGGGAGGAAATAATGGGCCAGGTTCTGGTCCAGGAGCCTGCGGGGCTGGGGGGCGGGGGGCGGGGCTGGCTCTCCGGGGGAGGAGCCTGCAGGAGGGGGGTGGCTCGCTGGGGAGGAGCCTGCAGGAGGGGGCGGGGCTCGCTGGGGAGGAGCCTGCAGGGGGGTGGGGCTCGCTCTCCCCGGGGAGGCGGTGCCCTGGCTCGGAGTCTGGGGCCGGGGTGGGGGAGCAGCACACCCATTCTGGAAGTAGGAGCAGAGCCTTGGTGAAGCCTCGGGGCGGGAAGCTGCAGGGCACAGAGCAGGGGCAGAAAATTCACCCCGTCCAGCCCCGCGTGCGCACGGAGCTTC